TGTCTTAGCTCAACTAAGATCAGAATATTGTCGTAATGATTGCCATTGTCATTCTATCCTCCATGACATTTCCCATCATTTCTCTTCCCACACCGCACACACAAACCTTAAATTGATTTTTGTATCCACTTCTTAGTAGTGGCCAAGTTTTATCATCTTGATTCTATTTAAATCTTACCCATCCCGAATCTAGTTAGCATTGTTATTGCTATTGTTGCGAATTGCATTCTGATTGTTATATTCTTACTGCACAAGAAACAACAATGCAAAAGCAAAAATAATGTACAAAAAAATCGAAATTTACAACAACAGTATTGTTAACATCCGTACTACGTTTTTAAACAAAGTAAGGCGTTTGTCGCCACATTATCATGTTAAGTGCATTAAGAACACCGGGTGTTAAGCCGTTAAGACAGGAAACCACGTAAAACAACTATGAACTCATATAACATGGATACTTTTATCTGCATATATTTTTTAGTTCATTTTGTGATTCATCGCACTGTATGGTTTAGAATACGTTAGAGCTTTCTAATTTTTTATTTATTTATTATTTGTGAAATAGAAAAAAATTATATGTAGACATGTGGCGTACTCAGCAGTAAACATAGCAAAATCTTTCTAATGGTAATTTAATAATACAGTCTTTGTCGAATTAGAGTAGAAATGTCTTATATGTAAATGGTTCAGCTGACCTACATATAAAAAAATATTGTAGTTGGGATATTTAAAGTAAATACAAGGTAAAACAAGAATTATGTTATCTTATTGTATTCCATCCTCCATTGGTGAAATTTCCTTCCGTTAATATAACTAATTAACTTAATAATCAAAAACCACTTAATAGCTTAATAAGTAAATGGTTTTGCAATGTCAAGGGATACCACAGCACAACATTTTAATTACAAATTTCCTCCAATAAAAGTGAACAAAGTAACAATTTACATAATTTTCTATGTAAAATTATGTTATTATTAAAAGTAAAATGAAATTATTATAATCAAAAATACAATTACTTAAAACGATTATGTTTTAATTTACAATTTTTGACAAAAGCTAAATTGAAGGACGCTAAACTCGATGGCTCTTTCATTTAATATTTATGAATTTGTGATGCAAAATGGATATCCTAATAACAGAGGCTGATGATGACGGGAATAGAAATAATAAATATTTTTTTTTAATAAATTATAAGGAAGAATGAGTTAGTATTCCTCTCTTAATTACTTAATTTTTTATAGTTATATTTTATGATATAATGATACATTATTTTATTGTTTCATTTCTTGATTTCTATTTATTTTTAGTTAATTATTTGTTATTTATTGAAAAGAATATTTTAAAATTAAAAATTTTTTTTATTTAAATTTCATGTAAATTAGTAAGCAATTAAAATTTATTTTTTGGTTTTATTATTGAAATTAAATGTAAAATGAACAAAATAATTACTATTAAAAACCACAATAAACAAACACGAGTATAATGAAAAATTATGCAAAATTTAAGAAATGACTCAACTTTATATAGAAAAATAAATACGATTTTGTTTACATTCTCTCATTAATGGTTTTGGTGTTTTTAAATATCTCTTAGTTTTTTATATCTTATCTACGTGCTTTTTTAATTTTCATCTTAATTGCTTAATCAGCGTAAATTTGAAGAATCTTTATTGTTCAAGATAAATTCTAAATAAGTCGCAAATTGTAACCAAACCGGAATCATCCAGCAATGTGCCGAAAATACCAGAAACCTTTTAACAATTGTTGCTTCAAGAAGTTTCACAGAACAATGTTCATTACTTTAATATTGTAAATGTACTTAATTATAATAATTAACTAATTTTTCTCAACAATTACATTAAACCGTAAACAATACTGAGAACAGCTGCCGCTGAACTTTTGTTTGGTTAGATTCAAGGATGAATTAACATTAACTAATCTCGACACCTAATTAACTATAAATTATAATGCATGGTAATTAAATATTAATGCGTGCTACAATCAAGTCATAAGAAAATTAATGAATTGATTTAAAAACGATTAATTGATTTTTATGATTATTCTTCGATTACCTTATGTTGTCTGACCGCATTATTTGATGAATATAATTGGTATCAAAATATTTTCCTCATAAAACATAAAAACGACTATGAATTGGGGCTTAACTTATGTTTTATTAAAGTCAACTATTCCAACTAATACACTTTAAATAGGTTTGGGACAAATATTTCTCATATTTCTCATTTCTCATAAGAAAAAATTAAAATAGTAAGGATTGAGCATAAGTGTTTTTGACGCTCTAATGCAGGGCTGTCTAGACCAGATGCGATCGCAGGCAATACCAATCATTGTACAGATTAGAGGACCGCAAAAACAAAAACATACGTTCATCGTTGTTTTTGACAAAAACAAAAACATGGTTATAATGTTAAATTTAGTTTTATTAATTTATCAATTTGAATTCATTTATTGGTATACCATAAAAATAAAGGCAAACTGAGATTCAAAAGTTAGAACCCACTTTTAATTTAATAAAAGTTTTTTTTTAGAAAATCTGCATAATTATATTAGTAAGTTATTAAAGTGTTATCATTTTCTCACGTATTTAATGTTTAAATAATTTTTGCAAGATATAGAATGAGACCATATTTGAGCATATTGAAACCTGGAGATCACTTGTTTTAGCTAGAGCGTGACCTTTTTGAATATACATACATTCTCCTCATATTATAGTGATGAAATTATTTTAAAATATAATTGATAATTAGCATTTTGAGCTTTATTAGTGATTCTAGTATATTGAAATGCGCTAGAGTTTACAATTAATGGCAGTTATAGCGATTACGAAGCATTTTTAAATCAGAATTTTCATCATATTAGCGAAAACCAATCTAAAAAATACTGAAGGTTACATATATATAACTTTTGTACAACTTATAACTTTTATATAACTTATAATTTATGTACCTTAAATCACACTTTAGTAAACGTTATAATTTATTGGAACTAAAAGATTTTGTTCCAATATATTTTCTTGATGGAAAGTCATTAAATTTTGGACATAAATTGTTATTGTGGAAAATGAAGCACACAAATATTATATATTTACCCACTACACCTTGAAAATTTAGATACCCCTTGAAAGAACCAATATCTACAATCTTGCTTTGCTGTTAAAAAATTAATTTTAAAATAGAATTCTTAAGAGAAGTTGGCAGTATTTCAAAAATAACGGAATTCTACAATTAAGTACATATATTCCATTCAAAAAATGTCAGAAGATGGTCAAATGATTTCTGCCCAATAATATACCTATAATATTGAGATTTGTATTCTAATTAAATAATTTATAATATTTAAAACGTTTATTAAATAAATTACGATTTTATAAAAAATAATAAAATAATTTAGAATTAAAATTTAAGTTTAAATAAAGAATATTGATGTAAAATTTATTTTTTGTAACAAAAATAAAAGAAAATAAACCTTACAGATAATATGCAGAAAATTATTTATTTAGTATAACATTTTATTTAATAGTCCGTTAGTGACAATCCTATATAAGCGACCATTTAAGTATAACATAATGAAAATTTGTGTTGACTATTGTATAAATTTGTATACCCCCACCCTCTCTTTACTAACAAGCATGTCATGATAGTATTAAACAAATCATCTGTTTAAATATTTCATTTGTTAATACCTAATCGTTGACTATTTTAAATAGATGGCGCTACCAATCTTAAAGTGAAAATTGAATTAAAATAATAGAATACTCTAGGTAATCACATTTCTAGTAATTATATCAAAATATACCACATCAGTTATGTATACTCGACTTTATTTTAATAATCCTATATAACTGGACATTAGCTAATAACCTGAGATTAACAGTAACTTGTATCTTTTACTAACAGTTGTTGCGCTCTCTGAGGGGGAGAAATAATTATCAAACTTTCGTCTATTGTATAGGTTTCCTAGCCTTAACAGAAACCACTTTTCAAACACCATAAAGAAATATCAGAAGCTTCACAAAATTCTGAAGTAAAATGAATTGGTAAAAGTAATGTGTAAGTATGTAACTTTTAAATCAGAAATACATACCTAATCGCATCTAATAATAAGAACCCTAAGGTAATAAAACAAACTCATAGACAATTTATATAAAATCTGGCATATAGATTCACACTTAAACCAAACCTAGCATTAGCACCGCAATTTAACGGTATAAATAATTATAAATTAATAATAAATAGTAAAACACGAATATTGAAGAAAAAAAAATAGATGCAAATTATATTAAAAAGAGAAAATGAAACTGATTTGCACTTCAATAAAAAAAAAAAAATACCTTAATTCAATTTAAATAAAATTCTCAAGAGAACGCTAAAAAAATATTTTTTTTACACTATTTTACGCTAATACCTTGAAACGATGAAGTTTTTTATCTAATCAAACATGAATAAAACGATTAAAACCTGTTTAAATAATTTTTAGTATTCACACATTTATTTCTATACGCGGCACAAATGTTTACTGCTTATTTCGCTGTCTCTGTTAATAATTTTCAGGTACTTAAGAATTCTTTGCACTTCTAAGAGGCTTGTACGGATTTGAGATTTTTCATCGCAATTTCAACATTGCGAATAACACAACTGAACTGAAACTCACAAATAGATACGATAAAATTTTATGACATGTCTTATGACTTAAGTGCAGGCAACTGAGATGAATCTAAATTGATAAGACAAGATTTCAAAAATATTTTCCAAAATTTGATAACCTTTGAAGCATTTCAAGTAAGCTGAAAATTATTTTCACACCCATAAAGTTCTTTATCTATTAAACGCAACAACAACAACAACAACAGCAACAATAAATAATAAAAAAATAAAAACAAAAAATTATAATAAAAAATATAATGATAATTTTGAAGTTGAAATTCATTAAAAACTTCACAAGTCGTTTTAAAAATATACTTGACTTTGGCAGCAATTTCACCTTGTTAAGATACTCGATTATTCCGGTTTCGAGATAATAACACAGCAAAAATTAATTGCAAGGAACAATTGTAGAGATCCGAAAACGGCAAAATTCGGCCGACAAAAATTATTATACTCGTATTATGAAATAATATGAGGAAGTCAACGACATCGAAAATAAGTTTTTTTTTTTTTTGTTAAGAAAAACTGAAAAGCTGAAAAGCTGAGAAATATTAATTAAATTAACCTGCAACGAATGTTGGAGATAAACAAATAATTAACACAATTTGCTGTCTTTGTTTTTGGCTTGATTTTTTATTAGTTTTTGCTGTTTGTTTGGTAGCCGCCACATTGAGGTTCGTTCGTGTAGATACGAGAATTTCATTTATTTAACACATTCGAAATTGAATTACGAAGCGAAAAAATTAATAAAATAATATTAAATATTTCAATGTCAACTGGCGTATAAAACGGCACGAACAACGCGTTCGTTCATATACAAAAATAAAAATAAAAATAAAAATAAAAATAACAATGAAAATAAATAGTAGAAAATAATAAATAAGAAATAAAAACAAAGCAAAATGTGTTCAGCAATAAATATTATTTTAAAATGGAATAAAGAGAATTGTTTATAAGAAAAACTGAATTTGCGCAACTTTCATGTAAAATTATTCAATGCAAAAACTGAGGAAATCAATTTTTACTTACAAAAACACTCCCACATTTACATACAACAATAAGTATTTCAGATTTATACATACTACACACCGCACACCACATACCTATATACCGCAAACCACATACCGCATACCTACAATTGAAATGCAATTTTTTCAAGTGCGCTCAGAATAAAGCACCAGAAATTATATATACTTTTTTTAAAATAGTTTTTAGCAAAAAAAGTAAACATGTTTTACATTATAAATAAATAGAATTTCTATTATTAGTTGTTGTTTAGTAATCAACACAATATATGTTATATATACATACATACATACTACATACAAACTATATATATAAAACATATTAAAATAACGAAATCACTTCACTAGAGACAACATTTTGAAATTTTATTCGAGAACAGGAAAAGGAAAATTGACCTCTGAAGAAGGTCTCATCTAAGTTCTAGTACGTTCAAGTTGAAGTGCTTATTGTAATAAATAATGTCAAATGAACTATGATTAATGTAATGTAATTATTTTTACATTAAAATCTTGAAATTAATTTACATTTAATAAACAAATTACTTAGAATTATTAGATAAAATATATAAAAAATTATCAATCAATCAAAATTTAGTTTTCAATAATTCCAGTTGCTAATTCTGCAAAATATCTCGGTATAAACCCACGTAGATGCTAAATTCAGATGGTACACGTACACATCAAGACAAAACTGACTGAGCTAAATATTAAATCGAGAAAACTAACTTGGCTTTTTGGAAGGTGATCCAAAGTATTTCAGCAAAACAAACTCATTGATATTCAGATGTCTGAGTTGGTGAATCAACACCTTTACTCTATTTTATCTGTGGACAATTTTAAGTCACACTAAATACTGGGCTTTACGGGACTTTATAATATGATGGATCTGATGTCTTTGTATCTGCCTGTGTTTATCAAATTTCGCTGTATTTTTAGGATACTGAGTGTTGGATTATTGTGACTGTCAATTGTATTGAATAGTTTCAGAGCACGATCTTTAATGTATTTTTCAACTGAATCCACTCTCAGATCTCTGTGGATATCAGCTCCTCTTACATACTATGGGGCGTTAACCAGTTTTCTTAAGGCAATATTTTGCCCTCTTTGAAGAATTTTTAAAGTAGAGCTTGGCACTTAGCAAAACGCTATACTGCCATAGAGTAGTCCTGGTTTAATAATTTGCTTAAATATGCTAACTCCATTCTTTATGTTGAGCTTTTTGCTGCTGATGAGCGGGTAAAGGGAGTGTAATATTCGGGCAGCTTGAGCTCGTTTGGACTTGAAATGTGCTTTCCAGGAGTGCTTGTTATCAAAGGTTATGCCTAGGTATTTGAGAGTATCGGCCCATTCTATTTCTTGTTCTTCTTGTTCTTAATAAAAATTGCCCGAGTCTTTTCTGCGTTCAGTTTTATTTTCCACTTTTTAAAATACTCATGATTAACAAATAAGTCTACAAGCCTATATGGCTCTATGGCGTCCAAACCCCGAAGTTTGTGTAAAAACTCATACCTATAAGAGATATGATAGAAAGGTTTCAAAACAAACACATAGGGATGCGGTTAACGCTCCGTGGTATGTGCGAAGTGCTGATCGACATCGTGACCTTGAAACACCTACTGTCAGGCAAAAAATACACATTATAGCTACCAATACACATTATGACAGGTTGAGAGTCAACACTTAAACAAAACTATTGCAGCGTTACTTTGCGATGTTACACACAGATGCTTAAGTCACTTCAAATGAAAGCACCTTTTGAGGTGTTTCAACCAGTAAGAAGATGATTAGCTCAGATCTATATGCTCACTTTAGATAAGTAACATTATTTGTAATATTAAATGAAACAATTTCTTGTTAGTAAATGCGACTAATTGCTGTTAATTTAAACTTAGCTCTTTGTTTAAATATACAAAACAAATCAAATATTACTTTAACACTTTAAAAATAGATTGCATCTAGTGCAATAGACATATAGTAATTATTCAAAAGTTTGACACAATCCTTCATACATATATTATAAGCTATTCTAGATATACTTTTAAACCACCTTTGCGAACTTTGCGCAATCGACTTAAAACGCCTTTTTCGAACAGTTTTCTAGTTTCGGGAATATAAAAAATTATGGTACCAAAAATCAGGTTAATAGGATACTTGGTCTACATTCACAAAGTTTCTTATCAAAAATTCTTGCACAACAATAAATTTGTGCCACCGTAGAACACTTAAAAATAAAAATTTAAAAGATTAGATTTTAATTTTATTTGGTACAGTGATACCGACTAACAGAAAATCCAAGATTTTAAATCCGAAATTTCAGATACTAATCTTATGAAAAATCATATTTATGCATAAATAGCAACGTTTGCAACTGAAAGACGATATTTTTTTTACTCACATTTTTTAAATTAAATAAAACTATTTAAAATCTGCATACTTTGCATACTAAATCTATTAACATTAAACGGCAGAGTTGTATTCAAATTAAATGTATTCAATAAAACGCATTTATATGCACCTAAAAATGAGATTAAGAGGGAAATAACACAATAAAGTATATAATAATACTACACATCGAAATTTACAACTATTTTAAAAGGTAGTGATATTACAATTTATTAAAATAATTGTTATTGGCTTTGGGTCAGTTGGGTAATGAGCACTGACTTTAAGCTTCAAATTTGGCAGGGTACGGTTTCCACCGTTGGTACTTGCAGTCTCAAAAAAATTATTCCTATATTTACGAATATAAGAAATAATTCCAAGACCTCTAATGATAAGTATTTAGCAATACTCGAAAGAGCTGTAAGGTCATCCAAAAATTCAATTAACTGATAAATAATAAAATTTCGTTGTTGTAATTTACTACTGCTCAAAATACCTATCTATTAAAAGGAATATTTTATATTAAGAATTTAGTTTATTCGTCAAAATGGACGTTAAAAATCAATTTAATAATTGTTATTGTAATAACCTGGACATATAATTAGATACAAAAGTAAACATAAAAATATGATTCATGTAATGATTGTTACTAAAAGTCAAATCATTCGCTTTTGTGGTTTTATATAATTTCAATAACAAAATCTAGATTTAAGAGTTGAATTTTTATTAAGGAATACAACACCTAATAATTATACATAATATATTATAATATATATACAGCAATAATCTTGTATTCAAGATATATCGAGTCTATGTCTCGAAGCCCTTTACATCTACATCTACATCTACAACATCAATTCGCAATCTCAATTCGAATTTTCTTCTGTAATACTCATATTAATGCTTTAATAAATAGAAAAATATCTCCGGCAATTATAAGTTTACACGCTATCCATATTTTAATATATGAACCGATATTAATGATAATTTGGTATAATATCTAATATGTACACATCATATGCATATATATTGTTGTTTCAAAATGTTTGAGTATTACGATGTTCGAGTAACTCGAGTATGCTTAAATTTGAATACAGTAATCCCTCTTATTACGCGGTAGATTGTTCCGCGTTATAGGAAAACGCGTTGTAGGGATATTGCCGTATACCCCGTACACACACGTGCAAAGGTACGCGAAGCCAATTATGAACTGTGTAAATTCCCGCGTTATATGGAGATTTAAATCGCGTATACCACGTTATAAGGGTACCGCGTTATAAGGTACTGCGTTATAAGGTACTGCGTTGTAAGGGTACCGCGTTATAAAGGGGATTACGGTATTTGTAATACAAATTCGAACATCTTTAACAGATATTCAAACAGCTGATTTGCTCTACGTGTGGTCTATTTTTTTTTAGTTTATATTATATAAAATACTATATAATAGTTAAGCATCTTCAAGCAGTTCGCCATGTTTGAATAATTGATTTATACATATTCGTCTAACAATAGGCAAAGTTTCAAACAGATCAAATAATATTTCAAGCTCTGATCTTCATATATTAAATCATTACAACATAAATAACATTAGATCCTAGAATTGTAACGGCAATTGATCTGCTTAATGCTAAAAAGCCAAAATATGTATGAGTATGTACTCATATTTGGAAAAAAAATTTCGGAATTTAAGAATTTTAAATGATAGTGGCCCTGCGAATATCATACTAGCCTTGCCAATAGTATGAAGTTCAGTATGCGATGTTCAAACTTCAACTCGGATAAAAATTTTTAATAGTCGAAATTTCATTTACAAAAAGTTCGCTGTGTTGTTACTGATTATTTTGCTTGGATCGACAATAGTAGAGAAAAAATATATAAATATAATTATACATAAGAAGAAGAAAATTAATTTAAGGTGATAAAATCATCTGTACAAATCCTCTAATCTT